CTCCCCCCTCGGTTCGAGTCCGTGAGGAGGTGTCTTTTTTTTCCAAGACTTTTTTTTTTTCGGAGTCCATCACATTGACTGGCCCCCCACACCTCAATCAATATGTTCTAATACTGCTGTGTAGTAAACGGGCCAATGGTAGCAACGCACGAGCCTACTGCAGGTACGTTTTTCAACAAAAAACTTTTCCACCTCCCNAGTTTTTTTCTCACTACATAAATCCTGGTCTAGGATGAAAGCGACGCGCTGCAAAGCTCGTTTGTTAGTAAACCATAATCGACTTCGTAAGTCGCGAGGGAAGGGATTGCTGTACCCTTCTCGCGATAAAAATATCTCAGGCATGAACCGCAGGAGGGGGGTCCAATTCCCCCCTCCTATGTGACCCCGGTTGGGTCGTCTAGCCAATAGAAGTGGAGGATAGGGGCCAGAGGGGCAGACGGCAGAGTCCAATGATGGGAGAGAAACAACAACAACAAACAACAGACGAGTAGAGGGAGAAATGTGCGTGTTCAGCGGGCTGCAAGCCCTCGTGCGTGGCGTATTTTGTTCCTAGTATGCAATAACATCGAAACGCTGTCAAGAGTGCTCCTGCGTTCTGCTTCGTGTGAGTTCCAGGTCATCCACGGCGTTTGCGTTGTGGCGTGTCCTAAAATCTACATTCTTGTAGGCGATTTCCTTCCGAAGGAGCGATAGCCACATTTTATGCGCAACGGGCAGGTCCTTTGCTCCGTTGTTGGGTACGACGGGTGTGTTAAAGCACGCACCGCCACCAAAAATCAAACAAACGAAAATCCCCAGTAAAATGAAATGGCCATTTGGCGCATAGCGCGACCTATTGACTACTTGTACTACTGCTGTATAGATAGTACTCGTATGATATAACTACTGTATGCTGTTGTAGTCCGTGCATGCCTTTAAACAACGAAACTTGTTGCGGGAACAGCTGGCAGGCGCGTTGGCCCCAGGCTTGGATGGAAAAATGGTTCTGGGTCGTCGCACCTACGCATAGGCTGTCTTCTGCGGTTGTGTTTTCATCGTGCACGTACATATTCTACTGCAGTAGTGTTCGTGTGTACACTTTGAAGGAAAAGAGTGCTGCTTTCTCTCTTTTCTCGTGAACAATCGAACGCAAGAACAGCAGGAGGGGTGGCAAAAGAGGCGTCAGTGACAGAAACCCTTCTGTGTGATTATTATTACAGATTGGAGCTCCTACCCTGCAGAAATACACTGCGAACGAGATGAACAATAACAAAAGGAGCCTGACGTCCCGGGCAGAGAAAAGGATCCGTGGTCGTTTTCACAATCATGCGAGCCGAGCCCGACCACCGGGCAGAAACAAGGGACCACGTGGGGTTCGGATGCACGCGGGAGCGATGATTTCGAATGGCTCCTTCTCAGGGGCACGCAAGAGGCTCGTCGGTACACTACCGCGCGTGCCCGGGGACCGCCAGGCGTCCCTGGCACGGGCAATCGGCAGCCACCACTGGCTCCATTTCGCGGGGAGGCTCGCCGAACCAAACACGCCTTCGCGGAAGATTTTGATTCCTGCGCAACGCGCCCACGTTTTCATCGACCAATGAGCTACACGGTATAAATGCACAGGAGCGAGCCATCAAATGCAACGGGTTGCAACAGTAGGTCTGGGGTGAAGACGCCGCTAGCTTCAAAGCGCACGAACACGCGAAAAGTGACGGTGAGAACAACAAAGACACCCCGCACATGACGTATTTTCTGCAGGTTGTACGGAAATACCGGCACCGCGAAGGTTGAGATGCATCGATGCAAGGGTGATAACATTGGCCATGTCCTCTTGCGTCGCCCCCAGGAGTCATGCCAGCTAACTCCCGCAGGGATCCTTGTACCTTGCATACAGTACGGGCCCGCATTCAAGATTCTGTTATGAAAACAAGGGTCAACATTTTACGAAAAAAATCAGGAAAAAGGACGAGGAAACATAACTTAATCTCGGCCACAACACATGAAAAGTCCCATCAAAGAAACACGATCGCGCGATACCCCCATTACATAAGAAACATAAGGGTTGCTGGAGGAGCGTTTATAAGAAACGCCCCACTGCTGCTCCTTCCGTGCTCCCACCCCTCCGTACCTAGCTGAGCAACAATGTTTTTGTTTTTTTTGTCGCGCCCCCCCTCCGCCTCCGCGCTAGCTACCCCGCTCCCTCCGCGGGCTGCTTAACCAATGCTGCATGAATCAAAACGTAATGAGCCAAAAATAAGAAAATGGGAAGAAATAAGAGAATCAGGAGGATGCGACAGTCCAAAGGAATGAGAACTGCCTTTTGGGGAAATGGACGACTTCGGCTGGTGCCTCGACCCAAAGTAAGGGATTTAGCCTCGACCCGATTTTGACGATTGTTGTGTCCGGCCCCGTACTGTACATGTGTCGAAATCTCTGCAATGTAGACCGACAAAGACAAGGAAATTGAACTGGGATTGACATCCCAAACGCAGGGCTTATCCATGTGCTCACGCGTGGAAGCTGAACGAAGAGTTAGTGGTCGTAGTAACTGTATGAACCTATCCCGGCACATCCATGCTGTGTACGGCGGAATAGTGTTTGTGCTTGGGTTCTCCACGATTGATGACAGGCGGAGGTGACCACCCTCCACGAACGTTCAATATTGATCAACTTGAGACTCTCGTAGAGCCCTTCGGCAATCCGATAAGTGTCAGTATTATCTGTATGCTCGTCTCAGGGCCGTGAAAGGAAACACGGCAGATCACGGGGATGGTAGTGCAGCGGGAGCTTTGGCTCACATCCACGCCATCGCAATTTTGCACGCACGCCGGTTCCTCTGTCTCGTTGACTCTATCCATCTAGTCCTATGTACAACAGTGTTTTTGGAGCCCTGATGTTTCTTGTTCTTGTCCTCTGTGTACTTTCCCTGGAGTTGTCTCTTCCTCTGCATGTATAAAATCGCGTTGCCCGTTGTGATTTACGCATCATAGAATGTCTCGAGCTGGAAGATTTGCACCCGGCATTTGGAGATGCTCGGAAACAGGTGTTGACATTGATGTGCTTGTTCATATCGAGGCGTTTCTCTGGGAACGTTCGTTTCTGGTGTTCTTTCCTCACGTTTTCCGGGGTTTTCCGGACCGTTTTCGGAATCTTTACTTGATTTTTGACACGGGACCGACCCGCTGACAACATGAAACCGCGAAGTTGGGCCTCAGATTTTGAAAGAAATAGAAAAGCCTGGCAGAAATTGCGCTCATCTGATGGCCAACAAGAACTCGAGAAAAAAGAAATCGCACGCTACCAACCTCCCACTGACAACAAACGTGAAAGGATGTCGTGTTAGCCATGGAAAGAAGAAACTACCTCTGACCCTTGGCACAGCTTGACAGCGATCATGACCTCGGCCCAATGAGGACGACGTCACTGCGATGCGGCATCCGGATTCGTCTGCAGGATTCCCCTCCAGCGAAAGTAGGCGGCGCGTTGATTAACGGTATTGGTCTGCGCTTGATGTAGGTGTGGTTTGGGGTGTTCCTGGGGCAGGTCAGTCGGGCGACTCCCCCAAAAACCAGCCACTTGTACGTCTACCGCGTGGTAATGACTTGTTACCAAAGGACCATCGACTTGAACGGCGCATTTATAGATCGTAGACGAGGCTGACGCAGCCGTGGGTGCATGGGTTTTGTTGGAGCAGATCGACGGTTGCAAAGAGTCGGCGACACGCCTGTAGGGTAACAGCGGCAGGATGGATCCCCAGCGTTCGCGATAGCGACCAGGGATGAATGAGGAATACACAAGTTCGGGCCTACTTTGACGATTGAGTTTCGCACGAGAAGGAATTTCTCTTTTCCACCCTCCGAACGATGACGTCGTGCTTGCCGAGGTTCTTGTAGGATTCCAAAAGTACCGGTAGACATGCACACGCAACAGGAGATAATGCAATTTCCGAGTACGAAGGAGTCGATGCACACAGGGCTGTTCGTGTGCGCAGGCATAAAATGGGAAGAACTTGCTGTGTTGAAGGTTGTGGTCCAGGCCAGGATGACTGGTTTGGTGCCTTTTCCCGAGATTGTTTTGGTGAAGGCCATTGGCACGAGGGACACGGCTTCAGCGATGAGCGAGGGCGAACTATTTTCCATGCCCTGGAAAATCGAGGACTACTTTTTTCCTGACACAAGCGACCGCACCGTGTAGCGTGTACCATGTGGTTTTCCCGGCAATACCCGGGCAAACGTTGGCCGACAGCTCGCCGTTGGCTGTTGTTCCTCGCGTATTTT